AAAAACCAAAAAAAAAAAAAAAAAAAAAAAAGTAAAAAAATTAAGCAGTCAGGGCCCTAAAGGAAGACAGATGAGCTCGAGCCCCTTTGGGTGATCCCAGAGGGCTTCCTGGAGTAGGGGGCATTTCTACCACCTGCCCTTCCTCCCTTTTAGAAGAACATCCGGGTTGCCAGGAAAGAAAATGAATAAATGAACAATCTGGGGAGCTGAGGCAGGCTCAGCGGAGAGGAGCTGAGGCCTGAGTAAGAGGTGGTGAGGAGCCCCAGTTGGGGTGAGGGACTGGCGAGCGCCGTCGGAGCATCCAGTGAGCCCTGGGGGTGGGTGAGGGCTGACTAGAGGTTTCTGCGTGGCCACTGGGGCTCCTGAGGGCCCACCCTTGGTGTGAGGCTGTGAGGAGGGAGGCAGCCGGGTGGGCACGCAGCTCCTGCCTGTGGGCACTGGCAACACCTGGACGGGAGATTTAGGGCCCATCAGAGCTGGGAATCCCACCGTTCCCTGCTTTGCAATAGGGACAGTTGCAAAGCTAGGGAGCTGGTGTGAGGAGCAGCGCTCGCGGACCCCAGGTCCTTCTCCTGTGCAGTCCTCAGCACAGAAGGTGTCCAGCCGCCACGAGGCATTACAGCGCCAGCAGCACCCACATCTCGGGGCCCCCTGGAACTTGAGGTGCCCAGAGCTTCTCTCCATGAATAACCTGCTAGAGGGGCCCCAGGGCCTAGGACAGTGGATATGGTGTCTTCACAGTGGCCTGGACAAGCCTGGAGATGGAGGTCTTTCCCAGGCCCTTCCTGCCTCTCACAGGCCTCAGTTTCCCCATCTGAGGCTACCCAGGGTGCTGAAAGGGAGCACCTGCAGTGCTGCCGCCCACCAGGGCCGGGCTTCCTCCCTTCCAGGCTGGCTGCTCCCACCAGCCCTGGGCTCCCTGCCTCCCAGGAATGTGCTTCTGGGGGCTCCTTCTCCAGGCGCCCTGGTTTATCGGCCCCAAACACAGGGAGACAGACGCCTCTCAGACAATGACAGTCCTTCCTGTTAGCCCTGACCTGACCCTGAGGGGAGGGAGGCCAGCGCCTGCTGAATGCCTGGAGGCAGGATACCCCCTTCCCCAGGCCGGTGTGAAACCTGACCTCCCTCTGCGGGCCCCTTTGCCAGCAGTGGCGCCTGCCCTGGCGGCTGTCAGAGGCCCTGGCTCCCCTCACTCACGCAGATCTGCTCTCCCTGGCCCACCTCCAGCATGACCTTTAGTTGCCTCGATGGAAAACCAAGGCCACCTGAGGAGCCTCCCTCCGTCTGCCCCAGTCCTAACTCTCAGCACCTCTGTCCAACCTCCGCCACCTCTGGAAGCAACGCATCACACGCACGTTGCCTTGCTTTGGTCCTCCCACTATCCACCTCCCTCACAAGCAGGGTCCGCTCCACCCACTCTCATCAGCACTGCTCCCCAGGGGGACTCCACTCTGCACACCTGGGGACCCGCCTGTTCTCGGCATCCACCTGAGACAAGCTTCTCAACCAGTTCTCCCTCTAGGCCAGCTTCAGTCTCCTCAGGGCTCCGTGCAGAACCCCCTCATCATCCACACTGATGTCCATGTTGACAAAGGCACCCCTTTGTGGTTCCTCTCTTTCCCTGGGACCCCGGCAGGGATGCGTCTCACAGTCCCTTTCCAGGCCACATCTGCCTGGGCCTCTCACCGCCTTGCTCTTTCTTTTTTTCTTTCTTTCTTTCTTTTTTTTTTTTTTTTTCTGTCTTTTTGAGACAGGGTCTCGCTATGTAGTTCAGGCTGGCCTTGAGCTCACTTTGTAGCCCAGGCTGGTCTCGAACTCGCAATGATCCTCCTGCCTCAGCCTCCCAAGTGCTAGGATTACAGGCGTGCACCACCGCGCCCAGTTTACCTTGCTCTTTCTTGAGTTCCGTTCTGGGCTCAGCTCCTGGACTCATCTGCTCTCAGCCTCCTGGCTGGGTTTGCCTTCCCTCCCTGAGCACGGAAGATCGCTGCCAGCCCTGGCTTCTTTGCCATCTACTCACATGCCTTTGGCAGCAGGCTCAAGCTAAAATTGCCATTGACCTACTAGTAACTGACCTCCGGGTGGGCTGTCGGCCCTGTCCTCTCCCCAGTGCCACACTCGGAGTTTCTGTGCAGATGTCACAGGTGCTTCAAACTCAGTGAGACCACAGCAGGACTTTCTACCCCTCCTTTCTCCTCCCGAGTGTCCTCCAGCTCTGTCATAGTCACCACCCTTTACCACTTTGGCTCAGGCCCCTCTCACAGCCATACTCAGCTTGTGGCAGGTCTACCACTCAGTCCTCACTGAACCCCCAGGGAACGGCCCAAGGCATCATCGTCCCTTGGAGTGTCCCCTTGCTCAGTGGTTCCTCTGGCAGCCTACGGCCGGCAGGGCAGACACAGAGATCCTTTCTAAAGGTTGCCGTATCGTGTACATAACGCAAAATTTGTCCTGACCATGTTTAGGTGTACAGCTCAGGGGTGTTAAGCACCTTCACATTCTTATGCAACCATCACCACCACCCAGCTCCAGAACTTCTTCATTTTCCCAAATTGAAACTCTGCACCCGTGAAAGGATAGCTTCCCATTTCCTTTCTCATATAAGGGACATCCCACAGTATTTGTTTTTGGGGACGGGCTTATTTCACTGAGCATTTGTCTTCACGGTTCATTCTCGGTGGAGCACGTGTAAGATTTCATCTTCTTAAGGCTGAACATTTCATCGTATAGATAAACCATATTTTATTCATCCACCTGCCGGGAGGTCCCTGGACTTCTCCTTCCCTCCAACCCAAGTTTCAATAAATGGTTTCTCCCTTTGAATGAATGAATGAATGAGTGAGTGAATGAAGGGAGTTCTCTCTTCCACAAAGTCCGGAGGCCCTTTGCAGCCTGCCCATTTACTCCAAGCGGTCTCACACTCTCAAGTACCATCTAGGGCTGCAAGACCCCACGTCGGGCCCTGGCCCAGCGGCGCCCCCAGGGCACCCCAGACACGGACTGGCTCGTATGAGCGGGATCCCGGGTGTCTGGGGCATCTGGGCACTCCCCCAAGAGTCTCCTTTGCTATGGGAGCGGGGGCGGGTTCTCAGAGCGGAGAAGGCAGTGCCCAAGTGTCAGCGCGCCGGGAGGCGGACTGCAACCAGGCTCCGGGTCCCGCCTCGTGGTCCCGCCCCCTGTGCCCCCTCCCCGTCCCTTGTGGCCCTGCAGTTTTCCGGTCTCGCCGCACCTGGCTCAGGTCTTTCCTCCACTACTGCGGAAGACCTGGCCCCAACCCCTTGGTGGCCTCGTGGGTCCTTGCTATTTGTCCTCCTCTAGAAAGAGCAGTTCCTCATTGGCCGCAGGTTCTCCCGCGCCGCCACCGCAGGCACAACAAGCGCCACGTGCTCCCTCTGGGGCTTGCCAATTGGCCAGCCGCCGCAACCCGCCGCGGTTTCCCTTCCCGCCCCCGACTTCCCGCTTCCTCTTCTCATTGGCTTACTGAGCCCAGGGGCCCACCCTGTAGCCCGGGCGGTCCCCACCTCGGACGCCGATTGGCCACAGTAGGGAGTAAGGCGGAGCTTGGAGGCTGGGCTGGGAGGTGGGCTGAAGCGTGCAGCAGGTCAGGTCAAGCGTGCCTGAGTAGGTTCAATGGCGTGGCAGGGGCTGGCGGCCGAGTTCCTGCAGGTGCCGGCGGTGACGCGGGCCTCCACTGCAGCCTGTGTCCTCACCACAGCTGCCGTGGTGAGCGGGCCGGGCGGGGGTTACAGCCCCTGACGGGGTACGAGGCACTAGGGAGGGTGGCGGGGTCACAGCGCTCTCGCTGCTCCTGACGCGGCCCCGGTTCCGCAGCAGCTGGAACTCCTCAGCCCCTTCCAGCTCTACTTCAACCCGCACCTCGTGTTCCGGAAGTTCCAGGTGAGGCCGTCCGCCCTCAACCCCCGGGGCCCGGCCCTCTGCGCCCGCACCTCACCGCCTGTCCTCCCCCCGCAGATCTGGAGGCTGGTCACCAACTTCCTCTTCTTCGGGCCCCTGGGATTCACCTTCTTCTTCAACATGCTCTTCGTGTATCCTGCGCAGCGCGGAGCCTGGCGGGCCTGGGGGGGGGGCGCTGGGGTGGGAGCGGCCGGAAGCGGGGAAACCGAGGCCAGTGGTCCCCCTCCAGTGGTCCCCTTCCCTTACTGTGTGGTCCGGGACGGCGCTTCCTATACCATCGCGCAGGTTCCGCTACTGCCGAATGCTGGAGGAGGGCTCCTTCCGCGGACGCAAAGCCGACTTCGTCTTTATGTTTCTCTTCGGGGGCGTCCTTATGACAGTATCCTTCTATCTTGCTCAGGAACCTCAGGCCGCGGCTCCTCGGAGTCCGGCATGAGCGGTCCCTGGGGCTTAGGCTGTACTGAGCAGCTATTCTGCGCTCAGCTCCAGTGCCAAGGATAGGTCTTAAATGCTGTGAGCAAAATACAACAGGGAAATGTGCAGCAGCACCAGGCAGGCACCTCGGGCACTGAGCCTTCAATGCCAGTAACCAGGACAAACGGACAGGGACTAGCCGTGGCTGGAGTGGAGAGGTGTGCAGGGCAGATCTCAGGGGACCTGAAGGCTAAGTGCAGCAGGGCTCCTCGGGATGGAGAACGGACCACACAGTAAGGGAAGGGGACCACTGGAAGGATGCCTGGGGCTTAGCAAATCAGAGGGGCCATGGGCATGGCTGAGACCTGCACCATGGCGCCTTGACTCCCGCCCAGCTGCTGGGACTCTTGGGCAGCCTGTTCTTCCTGGGTCAGGCGCTCATGGCCATGCTGGTGTATGTGTGGAGCCGCCGCAGCCCTCGGGTGAGGGTCAACTTCTTTGGCCTCCTCACCTTCCAGGCACCATTTCTGCCCTGGGCACTCATGGGTTTCTCACTGCTGTTGGGCAACTCAATCCTCGTGGACCTGCTGGGTGAGCATGCCTGTCCCTCCTGCCCACCCCAGGCTGGCCCCCACCCTCAGGACAGGCTGCTGACGCCCCACGGCCCCTTTCCACCTGCCCAGCCCCGATTCCTGTTCTCCCAGCCCCACAAGCCTGCTAACTGGTGCACAGGATTTGCATCTGTGGAGCTCATCTGCTGATGCTTGAGTGGGTCCTGTGGAGGTGGGCCAGACGAGCAGGTTCTTCTCCTGGCCCCTGCTCCCCAGTGTGCCCTGGGCCTTCCCTCCCCAAGTCCTGCCTACTTGTGCACTCTCTAAGCCTGTCCTTCAGGGCCGGCCCTGTGGTTATTCTGGGCTGTGTGGGTAGCGGTGTGTTGCTATCTCACAGGGATTGCTGTGGGCCACATCTACTACTTCCTGGAGGACGTTTTCCCCAACCAGCCTGGAGGCAAGAGGCTACTGCTGACCCCCGGCTTCCTGTGAGTGTGGAGAGGACAGCCCTCTCCCCTCAGGTGGCTCCCCATGGATGAGGAGCCGTGCTTGCCTCAGCTTAGTGGGGGTCCCTCCTGACAGGAAGCTGCTACTGGACGCTCCTGAGGAGGACCCCGACTACCTGCCCCTTCCCGAGGAGCAGCCGGGACCCCACGGGCCACCCCTGCAGTGAGCCTGCCTTGGGCCAGCACCCGAAGTTTCCTGCCAACTCCACTCTTCTCCCTGCTCCTGCTCACAGCAGACCAGTCTGTCCTGGAGGCTGGGCCCATGCCAGCGCTCACCCAAATAAACAGTCACCTGCAGCGTCTGCTCCCACAGCACTGGCTCCCCGTTTTGGCCACCACACCTTCCATGGCCTTCTATGTCTGCCTCTTTGCCTTTGCCCAGCCTGCCCTCAGCCCAATTGCAGGTGATCAGGCGGGGGCCCAGACAGGGCAAAGCTGCTGCCCCTGAATGCCCACCAGAGTTCTGAGCTCACAAATGACAGACTCTAAGAGTCCTTGCTCCATTCCTGCCACTGCCTTGCAGGACATGTCCTACCCACCTTAGGCCTCTATTTCCTGCCGTTCAACAAAGGGGTTGGTCAGATTTCAGCAGCTGGGGCCAGGACTCAGCCCATTCTAGAGATGCCCCTGCCTACAGTACTCTTGGGTTGATGCCCACCCAGCCTCCCCCGTCCTCATCAACCTTGACAAGTGAGCCTCTTCTTCATTTCCCAGCCGGTGCCCTGCAGGCCCCATGAGGTCAGGGCAGAGACGTGCAATAGGGCCCTCCTGCCTTCTGTGACCCCAGGCCTTGAGAAGTTTCACCTGGCTAAGGCAGAGCCCTCTGGGAAGCTGTCCCTGCCATTTAAGCTGAGGACCTGTGTGAGCCTTTCCCTCCCTCCCCCTGGAACATGGATATCCCCTGTGGCCAGCTTGTTGCTCTAGGCCTGTTCCCAGTGTGGCTTCTTCCTGGATGCTCAGCAGCACGGGGCTCTGTCAGCCATAGCGTGTCATTTTTATGATAACAAAAATGTTCTCTGTGAGTCTGACTTCAATTTTCTAGTAAAATCTGGTAAAGCAGCAACTTCAGTGCAGGTTGGCAGTACTTACAGGGCACAGAAGCAGACAGGAACTGGGCAGCATCCTACCAATTGCAGCACAGGACTGCAGCCTAGCTCATGGTCAAGCAAACCTCTTGGCAACAGAGCCCATCCATTTCCAAAGCCAGTGGGCCTGGAATCCTCCCTGTTGCTTAGGGTCTTTCCAGAAAGCCTCGCTGTCCCTTTGCTGTGTGGCTCTGAGAGTTCTACTCTGACAGGTAGCCTGAGAGCACACTCCCTGGGGACAGTCATGGTCTTGGACATGCTCACAGTGGCATGCTGCCTACTGCCTGGCAACCAAGAGCCCTAAGATCTACCAGGAGCCCCACCCCTGCCCCACATGGACTCAAGCTGGAAGCCAGGTCACAGTGCCCCTGTCACATGCCCCTGGAGGAAAACACCTCTGACCCTCAGCCCTGCCAGCAGCCAAGAGTGGCACCAGCCTCGTGGTGGGGGTGTAGAACCACCGTCTTCAGGAAGAGGAGCTGTGTGCCCAGTTTACCAAGCAGTTCTTGGCTCAGTAAAGAGACCCACATGTGCCACCCTCAAGGAGCTTAAATCCATTTTTCAAAGTATACATACTTCCATGTTAAACACAAGGACGCAGGTGACAACGGGCTCATCAGAAGCGTAACTGGGAAGAAGTCGGGTGCTTGGCTTTCTTTATGTATACTACATCAATCCCCAAAGCCAACAAAGGGCTGTTTCCATTTTCTTTGCAACAGGCCTTGGGAGGGAGCAGCTGGCCCAGGCTATAGGTGGAGATGGGACCCATCACCCTGTTTTGTGTGGGCTGCTGGAGCTGGGACAGGCCCTCCTGCATCCAGGCTAGTGACATCCAGGCAGTGCCCACATGGCAGCAGGTCCTCTGCAAGGGACTCCAGAGCAGCAAGGCTCCTGGCAGGTGGCAGCGTATCTGGATATAGCAAGGCATTCCAGAGACACAACAAGAGCCAGCAAGTCCTCTCTCCGCCCAGGTGAAGGGACAGAAAAGGTTGTCACTGAAGGGCGAGGAGTCCCAGCCCTGAAGTCTCCTGGCTGCTTCCTTTCTTCTCTGCAAGCATGTGCTTGGACAGGCGGCCAGCTGGAAGGCCCAAGGAAAAGCAAGGGTTGGGCTCTCCGGCTGTGAGGGTGCTGGGATGGCTGAAGGGAACCTCTTCACCACCACCCCCTCTGGGTAGAGGCAGAAAAAGGGTGAGGCTTGGCCCATCAACCTTGGCCACACTATGCCCAGCCAGATCCAGCTCAAGATCACTCCTGAATTCCCCCACTTTCCCTCTCCCAGTTCTGGGGAACAAACTGAGGGGCATTCTACCACTGAGCTACATTCCCAACTCTTCAGTTTTTATTTTGTGACAGGGTGCTCCTAAGTTGCCCAGGCTGGCCTCAAACTTTTCATTCTCCTGCTTTAGCTTCAATAGCTGGGGTTATACAGGTGTGTGCCACCGTACCTGGCCTCTCCCACTGTTTTTATGCCACCACACTCGAGAAGCTGAGCATGACCTGTTGCCTTTTATTTAAAAAGTATTGCTAGCCCTGACTCGGGCTCCTATACAAAAACAAAACACAACCCAAAGTGAGGCTTTTTCCTGACCCCAAACACTCGGGCAGTGTGCTAGGAGTAGGGGGACAGGACTGGGGCTCAGCAAATGGAATGTATTTTGGGGGAGGGCAAGCTGGGGGTCCCACAATGCCCTCTACCTCTCCCCCATTCCTCAGAATGGCACTGAGCTGTCCCCTTGCCTCTTTCCTTGCCAGAAGAGGAAGGAGAGGGGTCCTCCAATCTTCCGAGGTGCTCCATGAGAGCTGAGCACTGACGGGCTGGTCACCAGGCTGGGGCAGTGTTGGCGAGACGCCTCATCCGTCTGGAGGAAGGGAAGGTGGGTTAGGGGGAGTCAGCTAGGGCCAGATGCAGCCCTGGGCAGCTGCCCTCCTGCAGGGCTCCCCTGGGCAGCTGCCCTCCTGCAGGGCTCCCCAGGGCAGCCAGGTGTGTCCCTCAGCCCCCACCCCAGCAGGGCCTCCCCAGCCCTCTCTTAGCCTTGCCCGTCTGCCACACAGGCCCTGCCCATCTCTCCTAGAACCTTGATACCTGCTCTGGGTTGTGATCAGATATGACCTGAAGACCTGTTCTTGTTCTCTGTAGGGAAACCCACCCTGGAGACCAGACAAGGCCTTAACACCCAGCAGTCTGCCTTTGGCAATGCAGGTTCTTCCCTGAGCCCACTGTCATGGGAAAAGATGTCCTTGCTCCTGCCTGGGGAGATGGGTGCCTGTGGGCAGAGCCAAGACACAGGGATGGGGTACCTTGTATTTCTGTCCTGGTCTCGGATCTTCTTCTCCATCTCAGCATCAGTCAGGGTTTCCAGCAGCGGGCACCACTGGTCAGCGTCACCTGTGTTCCGGATAGCAATCTCCACTGTGGGCAGGGGGTTCTCACTGATGAAGGGAGGCAGGGAGAGAACAATGGCCAGTTCACAGAGCAGCAGCTGTGAAGTCCCCAGCAACCCGCCCCCCCAGCAGATGGGCAGGGCATGGTGGAAAGGCCCAGGCCCTTCCCCATTTCCTGCTTGCCTCTGCTGCAGCCTTTCATAGCAGCCTTAGGCACAGGGGCAGCTGGGGGATGCTCCTGAGACCAGGACTCCCCCTCAGCAGTAACAGTGCTGCTCAGGACCCCATAGCCTCCCTTCAAAGTAACTCAACAGGCCCTTTGTCTGCCACCTTCAGCGTCACTCTGTCTGGGAGGTGGGCTGGGGGTGGGTGCGGGTCGGTGCTGGTTAGGAGGTGGTTCCCCTAACAGTGGGACATGCTCACAGTGGGCCAGGCCACTGTCACTGGAGCACAGCCAGGAGGCAGAGGCCTGTCTGCCCTACTTAGTATCCAGGGCTGGAGCCTATCAAGACCTACTGATTAACGAGACAGCATGGAGGGGGGAAAAGAGGAATCTCAGATCTTGACATCTCTCAGACTACTTCATGGGATCCCCACTGAACCCCATAGAAGTTGGCCTGTTTGCTCAGGACCAGACAGCTGGCATGCAGACAGACCAAGAAACCATATCCCTGGACCACGTCCCACTGCAGTCCCTCAGAGACTACCCAAGTCTACCCCAAGGAGCCCTCTGTAACCTCCTCTGGCCACATGGCTATAGCAGTGGGGGTGAGCCAGTAAGGACAAAGGCTATGATGGAAACGGGACACACACAGGAATGCTGCAGAGGGGTGTGGCTGAGTCACTGCCTCTCAGGGCCATGATTTCTAAGAAAGTGCAATGGAAAGCTAAGGAGGTTCCTATATGATGCACTAAAATCCTGGCCTCGGCACAGCACCCTAACCATGATCCTGCCCTTCTGTTCCACTGTCACCACTCTAGCCTTCCATGGTCTTTTTCTCCTCCAGCTGGGCAGGTTTCCTATCTCTTGGGGCTCAGTCCAGGAGGCCTCCCGGCTCTGTCAGAGCTCTATCAGTATGTGACCACTTGCTGCCTGCCACCTTGTAGCAGCTCATCAGCTCTGGGAGGGCAGACAAGGTCTCAGAGAGGTATGTGGTCGAGACTGACGGGGTAAAATAGGACATGTTCCTGGCTGGGCTTCCTGAGTTTTCATCTAGAATATGGAATATTTATTGCTGTCAGGAGTTGCTGGAGAATTGTTCATTTTTTAAAAAAATTTAATCTCTTTGTGATGCTAAAGATCAAACCCAGAGCTTCCCACATGCTAGATTATTATTATCAAAGGAGCCAACATCCATCCCTTGAAGAAGGTACCTAGGAGCCATATAACTTTTCACATAGCCTCCCTCAAGGTCATGGACTAGCTGGCTAGAGAGAAGTGTCATCCCAGGTTGGACAATAGCCTCACTCAGCTCTTTGCCGTACGTGCCCTGCACTGGCATTTAAGGGCCTCTTCTGGCCTGAGAGTCAGGCTGAGCTCTGTTCTCCTCAGCCATGGGTCTCAGGGACCTGTGCCCTGATCAAGGCCAGGGTACTGGGTGAGGCTGACACTGAAAACCAGAGCACCCCTGGCTTTCTGGTGGAAGCAGGCCTGACCTCTTGCTGCTGAACCTCAGTCCACCACATCCACTCCCACGGGCCCATGAGCTCCGGAAGCCCAAGCCTATGGTGGTGACTCAGAAGCCAAGGACCTGGCAGCTCCCACCCCCTAGGGACAACTCTTCCTCAGCAGCTTGGTTTGGCAATCCAGGAATGGCCCAGCCACAGACCCCAAGCCCACGTGGAGGGAAGCAAAACATGTTTTCCTCTGAGTTTAAACAGGAGCCAGCAAGCAGGCCTGGAGGCCCCTTTGTTTACCTCCCTTTGACTCTGGGAAGATTCCACTCCAGTGGGTTTGTTCTAAAATAAGAACTGCTTAAGCCAACTATGTAAGGACAGGCCAGCAACTAACACTAGCCTGTGCCTGCCTCAGGTTTGGGAGGTCATGCAGACAGAAAGGCGCTGACCTGAGTCCAAGAAGTCTGGTAGCCATGGAGGCCAGCGTGCTCCCACTCGGACGGAACTGTGACTCATGCGCTGTGAGGCTGTCAGAGACCCCAGACACTCCTACCATCCTGAAATGGCAGTTACCCGAGCAGGAGGGTCCTGCCTGACAGGACTGTGGGACTGATGCTTGTGCAGTAGCTTCAGATTTATTTTCAATGTGATATCACTTTTGTGACTTCACATAGCAGGCAAGTTGAAAAGTATTATTAGCCCCACTCTAATAATGACCTGCCCAAGGCTATTCTACATCACCCTTATATCTGCAATCAACACCTCCCAGGCTGCCAGGATCAACCAATTTTAGACAAGAAAGCCTGGTCCACTCCCTGGGGAAAGTACAATTTTTCAACATAGTACTGAGACAAGAGCCTGGATTAAGCAATGGTTTATCAGACATGACACCAGAAGTACTAGGAATAAACTAAAAAATAAACTGTACTACATTAAAATAAAAACCTGTCCTGCAAAGGACACTGTGTAGGAAGTGAAATGGTGCCAGTGTGAAGGCACACTCCTGTAATCCCAGCTATTTAAGGGACTGAGGCAGAAGGACTGCAAGTTCAAGGCCATCCTAGTCAAGTTAGAGAGACCCTGTCTCAAAAGAAAAAATAAAATGGGCTGGGGATACAGCTCAGTGATGAGGCACGTGCCAGGGATGCACAGAGTCCCAAGATTAATTGCCAGTACTACAGAAAAAAAGAGGGCCAGGGATATAGCTCAGCTGAACAGTGCCTGGCTAGCAAGTACGAAGTCCTGAATTCAATTCCCAGTGCTGAAAAACAGAAAACCCCTTATCATTAGTATTAGGGAAATACAACTCCAAATTACTATCACCAATTTGGATGACTGATCAAAGAGACAGATAATAAAAAGTGCTGGCCAGGACTTAAGAGAAACTAGAACCCTCACACTGCTGGGTTAATATAAAATGCAGCGACTTTGGGCAACAGTCTGGCAGTCCTTCACAAAACAGTTACCACATGATCTAGCAGTTCCGCTTGTAGGTATAAATCCAAGAGAAGTAAAAACACATGGCCAAACAAAAAACTCACACATAAATGTCCTTAGGATTATTCTCAACAACTAAATAGAAAGAACCCAAAAGTCAATCAACCGATGAGTCGATGAATAAAATGTGGTATATCCATACAATCAAATACTATCTAGCCATAAAAACAAATGAGGTTTTGATGTGCTACAACATGAATGATCTTTTCAAACATTATGCTAAGAACTTAGCCAGTTATTAAAGACCACACAGCATAAGACTCCATTTATTCTCTGAGTCCAGAATTGGTAAACACTGACAGAAAGCAGTGTTTGCCTAGTGCTGGATCTGTGGGTGAGGGGAGCAACTGCTAAGGGGTATGGTGCTTCCTTTTAGGGTGTTCTAAAATTATTATGGTGGTAGTTGTACAGCTTCTGTACGTACATTAAAAATCACTGACTTATGCACTTTAAATGGGTGAATCATATGGTCAGTGAACTGTAATCTCAATAAGGTTATTATAAAAGCAAAACCTGACAACAGGCCAGGATGGTGTTCACAGCTTCAGTAGTAACCTGAACGCAGGGCCCACAGGGCATGGCAGGGCTGACAAGAGTCTCCCAGGAGAACAGTTAAGAGGTCCTTGGTCTCTTGGCACAGTTCTGTCTCCCTAGACTATGACATTTAGGAGGTGCCAACCCCCAGCCCAAGGTCCCCATCCTGTCTTACCCAGGCCTCTTCAACTGTGGGGAGCATCCCGGATGCTCAGATGGGCTATGACACACAGAATGGGCTGTGCCCTATGTGAAGACTTCAACAAGCCTGACAGGCTGGGAAGACACAAGCAGTCCTCCCTGATGCCTAAAGAGGTGCTTAGAATACCTACCAGACCCCCAGGCAGACCACTGTGGAGGGGATGTATGTTTGCCCAGGTCTCTAGCAGGGTGGCACTCCCTTTAATTCCAAGGATTTGAAACCTTCACATTCAGCGCTAGAGAGGACAGTGGGACAGGGGTCTGTAATACAGTAAGTGATCACCAAGATAAAGGACGGATTCGTCTGAGTCCTGACCTGCCACCACCAGGGCCTGTTCTGGAGCCACCTTGAGAACTGCAGACAGGAGCTTAGCAAGGAGCTGAGACTGATAGATCTGGTCGCCTGGAGTGCAAGGAGCAGGAATGCTGCTGCACACTGGTGACCAAGGGCAAGGATCAGGAAAAGGATGCCAAGAGCCCCTGAAGCATTATCTCTGGAGCTTGACCATGGCCTTGGTGAAGGTCAACACCTCAGTGCCTGGCTAATGGGAGCAGCAGGCCTACACCTGTGAGTCTAGAAAGAAGTTTCCAACTCGATGGGTGTCTGGGGTGGAGGTTACCATGCCGATGCCATTCCTAGGACCTGCGAAACATCACTACCCCATAGGACGCAAATCAACTCTGGGGAGAGAGGCCATTCTAGGGTAGCTCTTGGGCTGTCAGGTTCGGCTCTGTGCAGAATGAGTGGACCCCACGACTATACTCACAGGCAGCGCTCCCCCGGGAATGCAGAGGCCTGGGCTGGGCACCAGGTCTGAAAGGCACAACCACTAGTCAGCAGGGCTATGGAGGAGTTACAGCAGGTGACATACACTGTCTCAGCACAGTAGTTGCTTGGGCCAAGGGGCTCAGCTGTTTCCCAGGCCCGGGGCCTTGCACCCTGTGGGTGTGCCTCATTCCTTCTGTCTTGGTCAGATTTACGGGAAGCTGTATGAAAGCTGTCTCGTGGGCTGTCTGGGAAAACAAGCTGAGACAAAAACCTACTAACAAGCTCCATGAACTGTCATGTCTTTGCTCTTCCTGTCGCATTTCAGGCTGTCCTCCCACCTACAAATGTGGATGATGACAGTCTGAAGGACACGATCTGAACATCCTGTTGTGATACAACAGGTACCTGGCAGTGCCCTCAATCTGCCACACTATCCCAACAGAAAAGGTGCTCAGAAGGGTCAGAAACGACAAGGCTTCCCCTTCCTGTAGGCCTGAGGAGGTAGACAAGTTCAGATTCTCATTTCAGAGTCTCTTAGCACAGAAAGGCCATTGGCCGGGAAAATTCTTTTTTTTTTTTTTTTTGTCTTTTTGAGACAGGGTCTCCCTATGCAGTTCAGGCTGGCCTTGAGCTCACTTTGTACCCCAGGCTGGTCTCGAACTTGCAACGATCCTCCTGCCTCAGCCTCCTGAGTGCTGGGATTACAGGCGTGCGCCACCATGCCCTGCAGGTTCTCCTTTTGGGGAGAGTAAACGTGGGAGTGGAACTGAAATGCAACCAGTCTGCTGATACCTGTCTCCTCTTCCACAGTACCACTATTGTCCAGGCTCATGCTCACCAGATGTTCTCCGAAAGAACAAAAGCAGAGACATCTGGAACAAAACAGCTGACGGGGGCTCCCTGGTACTCACAAGCTGGGGAGGGCCTTTAAGAGATGACAGGCCCAGGGTGGAGCGGTAGCTCTGACAGAAGGAACAGTCTAGGCGGGAGTGCATAGAGAGCAGAAGAAGTACCCTGGGGCTGGGGAGGGGCTGCTATGTGGAGGGTAGAGGATGGA